GCTCGTGCGAGCGACGACGTCCATCACAACCTCCATTGCAGGCACGGCTTTCCACTCTGCAGCGTACATCAGCCTCATGCGACTCAGACGCACGCGAATGCACCTACCGTCGGACATTCCGACGGCGTCGCCGAACGCACACACAATCTCATCGCGCAACTCTGGGAGCAGCACGGGCAACGCGCGCGTCAGCTGTGAACGCACGATCGGGACGTGGTAGAGGTTGCTTGCGATGTTAGGGCCGAGCGTGTATGGCACCTGGATGTCTGCGCGCGGGGGCTGAGGACTGCTAGCGTGGAGGCGCGCGCATGAGAGAGATGCGCTCACCTCATTCGTGGCCGCACGACGCAGCTCCTCGAATTTGCGTGGGGTCCGAGACGACGACGCACTAGCCGCCTGGGTCGGCATGCCTCCCTTGTACTGGTGACGATGAATATATTATCGCCTGACAGTGTAGCTGCGCATGCAGAAGCAGAAGTGGCTGGACCATGCGGAGACCATCAGTGACGTTACGCACTTTCGCGGTTGGGCAAATGCAAGGTTGTGTGGTTCGTCGAGACGCAGAGAATGACGGGAACCTCAACGCCGCGTCTCGCTCGTAGCGTAAACGCCATACAGCAGCGTTGGATATGGCCGCACATACGAGCAGTAGCGTGCATATGTGCATGTTTATGAAGACGACTTCGGTTGTTCTGGTGGACGATCAACTCCGTCGAGTGTTGCTAGTGTTCCTAAGCCGCGCTGGTGTTTCTCCTGGGTTGCGAGTGAGGGCTATACTCAAAGATGCTAAGCAGCGGCTTATCATTCATGAGTAAAAGGACTTATCGTCCCTTAGTCAGTGTACACTTTTGTCGTATTAGACACTTCTTGCATCGAAAACGTAATGCGCCTCATAACAATTGTGAAGCTCTTAGACTCTGTATATGACTGAGATTGTGTCTGCGTTTCGGCAAGTAATCGGGAAAGGAAGAGCAAGAATGCGTGGACCATAAGACACGTAGACAACTTGACACCATTGGTCTCGTATCAGGTTCTACAGTAGACGATCATCGCTGACTGTACAAGTAGGCTCACCATTACTGCAAGAGCCCGTCAGATAGAACCTTATCTCGACATTTGGAATTTTAAGCTGCGTAGAAGACGGATCTTGATATAAGCACTGTATGAGGGATTTCGCGTATACCGAAAGGGGCGCCCTCCAACTTGCGCTCTGAGACCACGTGGGCACAACGAACTGTCTGGGTCGCGTCGCGTCGGTCTGTACCTGAGATGTATCCTCAATCCTAGATTCCACTAAGCTACTACTTGGGATCTGCGTAGCTTTGCTTACAGTTTGTAGAGGACACAATCCCCTGCGCTAGTTGCGATACTCGCTCGCTCATGCAATCGGACTTTGCTGTCGCGTCGTGATGGAAAGTTCTTGTCCATTCTTGCCGTGTGCTATAAATGATCTGAAAGCTTATCCACAAGATGCGTCATTGTATATCAAAGGACTCGCGACTCAGGGTCATCAAGGTATTGAGCGCAAGGTAACACTTAGCCTGAGTAGGTAGTCTGCTGCGCAGTAGATTTGATCGTCCTATGGAAGAGATAGGTGCCAAGATCATTCATTTTGGGTTGGAGAATGTCCCAGAGTGATTGTAGAACAGCCTTGAACTCTGTTTTATGGCGCGCATCAGTGACACGGGAGCGTCCGCGTTCTGCCATCGCAGCCGGCGAGACTTCCCGCTGATCAATCGCAATCGAGCAAGTCAGTTTTCCTCCCCTCCCCTCTCTATGCCGCTGTGAGCCGATAGTTCTCATTCTTTGCTTGTCCTAGTATGACGTAGCGTGTTCACGTCGTCATGATTGCGTCAGGTGCGTATCAGACGGAATCGGCCTCACCTACGGAATTGAGACATTTCGTGATGTATCTAATATCCGATATGAAATTCTGTCATCACGCGCATCAGACTAACGGAACTTGTGTTAGCCGCGAGTGAATGAGAGCGTCAGACTCAACAGTTCCGTGATAGATCGGAATGTCAGCACACCGCTTTGGATGCACGTAGGTCTATGGATTCCGGGCTACCAGAGTTTGTTATATGGTCGCTTATTAACATGATTTCGGTGCATTGCAGCCCATTTAATGCCCCAGGATGATTCTACGATCGGGACATATCCCCTGCTAACACAGAACGGACAGTGACATGTCAAGCAATTCCATCAGTACCAGTGAAGAAGATGCGCTCATCGAGCAAAGGTGAGTCGATTGGTCATTGTTATTGTAACCCCCTTCCATGTGCTGACCACCTGGCAGTATCGATGTAACCTATTTATATGCATCATTGCTTGGTATGTGTCTGTATTTCTCATTTCCTTGTTAAGCATATTGAAAGTGTTTATGCGCTCATGAAGCCCTGTTTATCTATGAACAAATGATTACTTTTGATCAGACAGTGAATTTTGTATGGCGCCGAAGCCTGACGAGCGCAACAGCATTATACATTGCACTGCATACTGTTATGGTTTGCTATGTTACTGTACAACTGGTAAATCCATTTGTCCCTGGTGGTTGCAAAGTAAGTTGGTAATATAATACTCAAGAGTGTACTAACAGTGATACATACAGATGTTAGTTTGAACTCACCATAAGTATCTTACTGAGAATTGCTAATGTTCGTTTATATTGTCTGTTCATATTGCAGGACTTATGCTATGGCAATGTGGCTCTATTGCCTCGAAATTACCCTGTATATGATTATTGGAAGTAAGATGATGATTTTATGGATGGTTTGATAATACTTAACTCTGAGACAGTAGTCAATGCCCTCAGGCTTTGGGCAATAAATAGGCAACATTGGATCATACCAGGTGTTGTACTGATCTTATACTGTCCTTTAATTGTCACAATCATGGTAAGTTGACTGCTGAATTTCTACTAACAGGCTTTGGAGTACTGACATGACAATGGCAGTATGAAACTGTGAAAACAACATATACATCAAATTCTGCTGGGTGTTTTGTCTACCAAAATATGTCAACGAGTGAGTCCTTTAGGTATGCATTGTGATTATCTAGTCTCGCAATATCTGACCCAAAATGATTTCAATCTGTCGCAGATGTATGTAAATTCCATATTATGCTATAGCATGTCATTGAGATTGTGATCATATAGTGGTGACTGGTAGTCGGATCTGCATTGTCACTGCAGATCTGCTTGTACTAGGGACTTGGTTTGCTACATATCAAGTGAAGAGAATGGCCAATCTAGCAAAGATGAAAGTGTCAATTGTGACACTCTTGTTACGAGATGGAAAGTATGACTATATAACGCACAAGGAGTCTTCATATTTAAAGTCTTATCCACAGGAACCTTATATTGGAGGTATGTGTCTTTCTGTGCTTAATTTTGGTCAAACATGATAGCTAAATATCACAGTGCCGCATTGGTACTTAACGTCACACATATTGCCTTGCTTCTCACCGGTGCATTCGATAATGGGGGTGCATTTGTTGATGTGTTCGTAAATTACTTCCTATCTGGCTACAGACAATGAACTGATCTATTTAATATTTCATCTGGAACAGGTTGACTACTATCCTGCTATCAAGACTCTTTCTCAATCTTCGACAAGTGTATTCAAGTGATGCGACTGCTTCAGAAACCCAGGTGCAAGATTCCTCTGTGCGCTTTGTCTCACGGGTCATAGGGCCCCTCGGGGCACCTCTTGATTTTGGATCCTTCGAGTGAGTCAGCGATATAGAATGTCTGAGGGCTTATACTTACTTGACACACAAGGACACAATCCGAGGTGCATCGTGACTCGGAAGAAGTGGAGGGAATACACATTCCCGAGATTGAGGAGAACCCGCGGTTTGTACCCGAGCCATTTGCAGACGGAATCGAGAAGTAAGCGAGGGAACTCAAGTCAGGGTTCTAGCGCAGTGAGCCGGATGCACTGCGTCTGTGGATGGCATGGAACACAGCACGACTATGCAGATACACAGGTCGCAGCAGCTTGTGTATGTCAGTCAATTACTAGAATATCGAAACAACATCAGCTGCGTATATCAGCTCGGATGGCTTCGTTTATTACAATCAACGGATGTTTGCATTCACCTCGCCATGGATGCGAAGGATAAAAGACTAACCTCTCCAGATCGTCTCCCCATGATGTCCCGGGCTCGGCAAGGCAAGCGAAGGAAGTTGCATGCACTGTTTGACGGAGCGACGAAGTCGCTGCTGGATGGTAAGTTTCACGTAGCCATCTTGTCCCGCCATGATTTTGCCTCATCTTCGCCATGTAGTGTATTATGCGAGGGGAGGATGGCTGGCATTACTCCGAGTTTCATTTCCCAAAGACCGCTAGACATTTGACAGCAAGCATAATCTTTTGCCCATACTTTCCAGTGACGGATAATTATGTTGCACGTTTCCAGCAGGGTCGCAACAATTGAGAAGGTAGTCTCTTCGGCGAGGTAGGCTGAAAGGGGGGGGGGGCACGTTTACGAAGGTAACGCCCATAAGTAGGCACAAGCGTCGCGGCGTTCCTCATCTACTTCAAAAACTCACATGCACAATCCAAATAAGCTTTAAGTCTACAGAGCACCGTGTCACTCGCCCAAGTCCCCGCAGCATCTAAGCCGCGCGCTGGTGTCACGTCTGTCAGGCTTTAAATGTCCTTGGCAACGTGCGTCTCCGTGAAGATCTCAAGGGCCGGCTAGAGATTCAAAGCACAACATCGTGGTGGTCCGTGTCATCAGCACTGGCGAAACGATACATGTGACGAACCTTGCACGGCTTGTCTCCTTCGTAAGGACCCTAGTGTCCTCTCTGATCCAGCTCCACGACACCCAGCTCGATGCCATCATACACGATGTACATGAGCAGCGTATTGATGAGGTGGTCCGTCCTGCGAGGAGGCATGTGCGTAAACAACAATACCCCATATCGGATGCCGAGCACAGTCCCTCCTGAACCCCGTGCGGCTCGTCCAAAGATAATGGATCTGGATTGGGGAAACGACCAGGTCGACCATCGCCGCCATCGCAAGACTACTCAAAGACGTCGCCTGTCCACTCGCATGAACCACGGCGGGCGTGCTCTGCAGTTTCGGACACACCTTTGACTTGGTGTCTTCCCTGAACCGGCTCTATTGCCCGAGAGTCCACCTAGCAGATGTTCCTGAGTTTCAGCCGACAGCAGTTGCTCGGAACTGCGAGGACGCACAGTAGGATGGACAACGCTGGATCAACATGTGGGCAGCCGTGTCTGTTACTTGAGGTTCACGCGCACGAAGTAACACTGTTTGAATCGTTTCATACGTCGTGTTTTTGTACATTCCTGTCCGCTGCCAAATACACAACTTGTACAATGACATACCATACAACGATAGGACAGTCAAGCCTTTCTCTTCCTGAAGAGCACCTGCGCCTTCCTGTTAGGCACAAGCGCCGTTCCGAACCACATTGATGGCGGCAGCACACCGTCCTTCTCCATCTTCACGTCGTATGTCACCGCAACATGCGCCAGCATCGCCTTGAGCTCATTCGCAGCAAAGAACCGCCCCGGACTGGTCGACCCCGTAGCATGAACATTGCGGAGATGGTATGATCAGTGGGTAAACCCAGCTGCAGGACTCAGGCTACACTCACCAGGCATGCCGTCCGTGGCCGAAGGGTATGTAGTCTAGGCTGGTACTGACCATCTGGTGCTTCGCGCCCTCGCCTTCCTCCTCGCGCAGGCTCGAGAAGCGGAAAGGATCAAAGACGTCTGCGTTCGGCCAGATATCTTCATCAAAGTGGACTGCGTGCGCCGGCGCGGAGATCGTAGTGCCCGCAGGAATGAACGTGCCATCCGAGAACGTGAAGTCCTTGAGTGCCAGGCGCGTCATGGACTCTATAGCAGAGGCGAGAGGTCGGAAGAAGTCAGGAGTTTAGCATTGTTTGAGACGATGGGGCAGGCAACGCACTAGCGCCAAGACCAGTAAACCGGTTTGACTCCTTGAGGAAGCTGTCGACCTTGCGCATCTTGTTCATCGCAGCCTTCGTCCATCCCTCGCTCTCGACGACCGCCTCGACCTCTGCACGGAGAGGCGCGATGTATTGCGGGTACGCTGCGAGGAGGTACAGCGCATTGATGAACGTCTGCAGGCACTATGAGGCGAAGGAAGCGCTGGAGGCAGGGAGTACGCACCAAGGAAGAGGTATGGATAGCCGCAATATTGACCGTAAGTACCCGCAGCACGAGCGCGCGCATGGTGCGTTCCTCGCCCTGTGCGGCATCCATGAGCCACTGGAGCAGGTCGTTCTGCAAATGAGCCAAGCAGGAGAGCAAACGGAATTGCGTCAGTGATATTCCATGTGCGAGCGCGAGCATAGAGGCGCACAGGCTTGTCCGGCCAGTCGTTTCCGTGCGCTTCAATCAGATGGAAGCGTTCTTCGATCATGGGCTGGAGGTGCTTCATGCCGCGCGCGATGCGCTGCGGGACCTTCGTGAGCAAGCGCCGGGCGATTCTGTAAATGCAATGACAGCATAAGCCACGACACCCGGGCATACAAGGCTGCAGACGTACGGCTTGAGGACGCTCGGGAAAAGGTTAATGATCGCGGCGCCCGTGAAGACGTCGATGGTGAACTGCTTGTTTAGCTCGCAGTAATCAGCATTGCGACCTGCTCAGTCGTGCGTTGGTGTAGGGGCCAATACACGTCAGTGTCGATACTGGCCACGGTCCGAGGCGTGCTCGTGCGACTCACAGAGCGGGAGGCCGACGAAGAGCCGGTTGCTCGTGCGAGCGACGACGTCCATCACAACCTCCATTGCAGGCACGGCTTTCCACTCTGCAGCGTACATCAGCCTCATGCGACTCAGACGCACGCGAATGCACCTACCGTCGGACATTCCGACGGCGTCGCCGAACGCACACACAATCTCATCGCGCAACTCTGGGAGCAGCACGGGCAACGCGCGCGTCAGCTGTGAACGCACGATCGGGACGTGGTAGAGGTTGCTTGCGATGTTAGGGCCGAGCGTGTATGGCACCTGGATGTCTGCGCGCGGGGGCTGAGGACTGCTAGCGTGGAGGCGCGCGCATGAGAGAGATGCGCTCACCTCATTCGTGGCCGCACGACGCAGCTCCTCGAATTTGCGTGGGGTCCGAGACGACGACGCACTAGCCGCCTGGGTCGGCATGCCTCCCTTGTACTGGTGACGATGAATATATTATCGCCTGACAGTGTAGCTGCGCATGCAGAAGCAGAAGTGGCTGGACCATGCGGAGACCATCAGTGACGTTACGCACTTTCGCGGTTGGGCAAATGCAAGGTTGTGTGGTTCGTCGAGACGCAGAGAATGACGGGAACCTCAACGCCGCGTCTCGCTCGTAGCGTAAACGCCATACAGCAGCGTTGGATATGGCCGCACATACGAGCAGTAGCGTGCATATGTGCATGTTTATGAAGACGACTTCGGTTGTTCTGGTGGACGATCAACTCCGTCGAGTGTTGCTAGTGTTCCTAAGCCGCGCTGGTGTTTCTCCTGGGTTGCGAGTGAGGGCTATACTCAAAGATGCTAAGCAGCGGCTTATCATTCATGAGTAAAAGGACTTATCGTCCCTTAGTCAGTGTACACTTTTGTCGTATTAGA